AAAGCATTTCCTCACGACGAATGCCGGTACCATCATAGACTGGAACATGCACGACGCTCGGAGAGCGATGCTTCCATAGCCGTAAATCGTAGCTAGGGATGTGCGTCCTTATCGCGAGACTACGGTACGGCACCGGGGTTAACAGCGATTGGTTCATGTTCAAGCACGGAGTCCGACGATAGTCCTTGTCATTGCAGCCCTTGACATGGCGTCACTGATATTAAATAGCTGTCGTGACACCTTGCCGATGCTTGCACCAAATTACCATGACACCCTGACCCCAGCGCGAACACAAAGTCTGTCATCACAACAATGAATGCGAGCGGAAGGTCTGCAGCGAGTGTATTAGTGGCTAAGAGAAGGTGCTGGAGAAAGTAAAAAATGGCTAAGGATACAGATAAGGTAACACGCGGCAACCGTACGTAGGAGATCCACCAACTGCTATCCAGATTATCTCCAATCATGTCCCCGGTGTCATAAATGTTGGGACGCGCAGAGTCCCCGGGTACGTTGCCGATTTCATGAGCACCAGACGGGACGCAAGCTGCGCCGACTCCGTTTACTCGTGCCGCACCATAATAACCCCCCATACACACTCAGTATTCTCCATCAAGCATGATCTCCGAGGCGCTACAAAGGAATCGATACATGTCAGGTATGCAGCTGCGCGCTATCAGACTCGGTCCGCGGCGTCTTCGTGCGAGAAACCGAATTTGCGGTCTACCCGGATGCAGTTGTCCTCGACGCTCGTGCGGTGGTCACGGTATGTGGGAGCAGTGGCAGAGCTCATATGATCTTTGTTCATGGTATCCGACCACGAGCTCATCTGAGAACTATTTCCACAGGCGGTGGAACTGTCCGTCAAAGTAGACGTTGCGGGCTTGCCATGGAGCTTGTTCTTGGTGGATCGTAGGCCTCTGGGAGCAGCGTTTTGGTCGTGGGCAACACCCGCCCACATAGCCGAGAGGGGAAGGAAGATGCAGACGATTGTGAGAACGTGGGAGACAATCTCAGGGGGGATGCTCTCAACAAATTGGAGAGATGTGAAAATAGCTACACGTACGTTAGTAAATGTCAGTGTTTAGCGTGGCAAAGAGAGACGAACCTGGTATTGACATTGTCTGACAACCCATGATGAAGACGATCTGCATCGGTCCAAATCTAGGCATGTTGAGACGGCGCCTCTGAAGGATGGCATGTCCCAATTTCCAGGTGAACACGCAACTGAATAACCAGATGGATATAGTTTGCATGATGTAGGTCATCCCGTTCAGTGCGTCCAGAGAATCGGGATCCACATTGTCCAATGCGTATTTGGTATTCAGGTAGACGAAAGCGAACTTGACTCCAAAAGCAGCGCAGGCCACTGTGGTGGTTGCACCCATGATGATGGTGCGATGTAGAGGTGGTGTAGTGACGCATACGATCCAGACTTGGAGACTGAGTGAAGCGTAGACTAGGATAGCGACGATAAGACTGAAAACGTTGATTAAGACGTAGATAGCCCAGTCCGCATTAGTCAGAGGTGGTGAATATGGGGTAACATCGCTGTAAGGGTCGTTCCAGGTGCTGCTAAGATACATGGCGAGAAGCAGGCAGCGGATGGTGTTGGTGAAGAGGGAAGCGGTGTTGAGGTAGAAGATGAAGGACTTCCGCTTCTCAGCCTTGGTCAAGAGGACGAGAACAACCAGAAGCATGATCGATACACCAAGACCTACCCCATTACTGGTAGCAAGGCGGGCGGTGTTCACGCTCCAATAGTTGACATCCGCCATGTTGACTGTGGTGACTGCCCATTTGGATTCGCCGCCCATCACAACCGGCACGATGAGGGTGAAGTTTTGGGTCCATGGCTCGAAGCCGGGCGGAACCTGGAAGTTGGACGGAAGGTCAACGGCGTGGAAGTCGTCAGCCATAACGGCTCCTACTGCTAGCAGTCTTTGGAGGTTATAGAGGTAGTGCTGTTTGGCCGTAGGTCCAGGGGAGGAACAGAGTCTGACAGAGTTGGGTCTGGAGGTGACAATTTGGAAGAAAGATAGAAAGTACTAGAGGCTGAAGAAGGAATGAAGGAGTCCTGCAGCGAAGAGAGTCGAAGCTGAATCGTTTATATCAGAGTTATATAATAGCTAGATGGCAAGGTTGGTTCTGCGCTGCAGATTGGTGGCATGCAGGGTCATCGAGAAAGTGACGGGGAGTGATGGCTTTCGGATCCCGAGCGGATAATAGCAGCGGCAGCATGCGATTGTCTCGATATCCCCACTCACAACTATAGCTAGCCAAAGCGAAGGCGAAGATGAGGTCTTAGAGTTACTTGAAGCCCTTACTATTGTTCCGTCGTCCCTTCACCTGCATGCGTCCGGATACTCGCCTCGGTCTGTAAACGCTTGACCAATGCTCGCCGCTGGTGCTCTTCTCCTGTCTTACAGTGAGTCGCAGAGTCGCTCACAGTGAGTTGGATAATTGCTAGATGCGCTGTTTGCAGTGTGCGATGGTTGTGATGAGATAGCGCGAATTCCTTACTATTGTTCTCCATCTTCGACTGTCTGAGCTTTGAGACTGTTGGGCGGCGGTGTTCGTGAGAACTGGGACCAACGGCAGTTGAGATGCACAGCAACCAAATTAAGTACACGAGTTACCGTTGTGCAGGTATCGTCCTTCGAATTCATATCCTTGCTGTAACCAGAGGAGGCAGCGGCGTACGGCTGGCAGGCAGAAAGGGAAGGTCAGCGGGTGGCGAATCAGCAGATAGCCCCACTTATTATGCGCGTCACCGCTAGCCCAGCTGCGCCTTCCGCAAACGTGACCACGCGTTAAATCCAACATTCGCGATCAAGCAACCGCCACGACGCGTCAACCGGCCCAGGATGTGGACATTGATCTCGTCACATACCACAGGAGCGCCGGGCTCCTCGGAGTATGCCCTACCAGAAACAGGGACAGTACACATCGTCAACAAAGTGCATCCTGGCGTGGTTCGCATTATAGCAGTGCCCGCAGTCGTACCTGAGCTCGGTCGCATCGGTAGGTCCACCGAAGAGGCTTGAGACATCCACTGACTATGGTAGATTCTGGGCCATGTGGGGTCAAAATGCAAGCCATCACAGCCTCATTAAGCATCTTGCCTGGCCAAGCACACGCCAACAGTCTATCATCGGCTGCTAGATACGAGTTGCAACCACAGAGCGACGGACGCTCAGAAACAATATTCTTGCGTCATGGCGATCAGATCCATGTTCCAAATGCGGCATCTTACCTGACTTGTCAGTGGACAGACTCTGAGGTCCAGGTCAACTCATCGGCTGCTGACGCTATGAGAATCGCGGTGACACCTGAAGAAGCCCAGAGCGAGGGCGATGATACAAAAGATCCCGCTATCAATGTAGCAAAGTCACAACCTCGCGCAACCCCTCAGCTTTCGAATCAACGATCGACTACTGTGATCCAGGAGACCCCAACCGCTGCCCGTACAGGAAATGTTGCAGATTCCTACGAAGCAGACGTTCAGGAAGCAGAGGCTTTCTCGACCGCCCGTACTGGCGAGTCACAGGATCAGATACAACCAAAGCTGCCTCTGGATGCTAGAACATCTTCACCGCGAGTACACATACCATCGAGATCAGCTAAGAAACGAACACGGTCCCTCGCCGATGAGGCGGAGGCATATACATCCAAGTCTGACAACGAGGCATTTGCCGGGCCTAGCAAGCGCGCCAAAACAAGCGATAGCGATACAGAAGACAGTCGCCTGAGCAACGTCGACGTTGCTAAGCCCGAACAGTCCGCCCCACCACGATCGCAGAGGGGTTCGCAACGATCCATATCTACTACTACAATTAGAGAGGACTACGATGGCCCAGCTTCCCGTGTAGCCTGTAGCAACTCCACCATTACGAAAGCGAGCGCAGCTGTCAAATTCCTGAAGAAACAAGGTGGAGCGTTTGTAGAGAATCTGGCTGATGACTTCAATATACTATGGCAAGTACTGCACTTTCTTTGCTACTGTGTCACCATGCTAACCGATTAAAGCGTACGAGATGGTGATCTCCAAAAGACAACAAAAGTACTTTACGCAATCGCGCGCGGCATCCCTATTGTCACAGACCAATGGCTATTGGAATCTGCATCAGCTAAGCGCCTGCTTGCCGTTTCCGCTTTCAAGCCATCCATACCTAAGCAAGAAGAGGAGTGGAGGATCAAGCTTGACGACATCCTCGAAAAGCCGCAAACTCCGTTCGCCGACTTCGCTGTTCACTTTACGAAAAGCCTCAAGACGAGATACGCATCTTTCTCCGACATTGAAGCGGTCTGCAAAGCCGCTGGCGCAAAAAGCGTGACGACTGGTGCGACGAAGTTCAAGAAGACAGGAAACACCATTGCCCTCGCTGCAGACGAAGATGATGTGGAGGCAAAAAAACTGATCAAAGAAGGAATAACATGCTACACAAAGGACTTCTTCACATACAGCATCCTGCGGGGCGTCGTTGACCACGAGAGCGACGAATTCAAGATCGAAGGAGCCGCAGCGGGCGAGACACCTTCAAAAGAGCAGAAGAAGAAACGAAGCCGGAAGAGTAACTAGGCACGTACCGAGTAGGCAGTGGCCAAGGACGGGCCTGGAATCATGATTTTCCTAAACTACATATTTTACTGCATAGCGCGCGGAGCAGGTGCTTCTTTGGACTCATGCCAGGCGATGATTACGGCGGCAATTCCTTCATATCACATTATACCCACTTCCATCATCGTAACAGAGCAACCCAGTAGCAATACTATCGATTAGACTACAATACAACGCTTATCATAGCATCACTGCCATTGTATGCTTCGGTAAGCGAGCAAGACCCACATCATCCCCCACTATAACATACATATCCCCGATGATGCCGATGTTTGCTCGCTTCAAGTGCCTCAAGCATGAGCACATGAAGTTTGCCAGGCGATTAGTACGATGCAATTTTCAAAACCCTCCATCAAAGAAGTGAAACAGCACATTTCGATAATCCTCTGTGGCGCAATTGGCTAGCGCGTCTGACTGTTACTACACCAGTAGCTAGTTATCAGGAGGTTGGAAGTTCGAGCCTTCCCGGAGGAGGATTACTTTTTGCTGGGTGTACGGACATGGATGTGTTGAGTGCTCGAGCGGAGGATGCGGGTTGGAGTTTTTTTGTTTTTGGCTGAGGATGTGTGTGGCTGCGATGCTAGTGTGTAGCGGGGAAACGCGAAGTATGGGGAACATCGTCACGACAACGCGACGCGCAATTCTTTTTACTCAATGGATATCCGTCACAGTAGCTATTTGGAGATGCACAAACGCAGGGAGTCACAGCTTCATCAGTGCAGGTACAGTAAGATCTATCAGTTTGCGACTAGTTGTGCTGCTCAAGTTCATCGATTGCCAAACGCTATGCGCATCTCGCATGTAATCCCAACTAGATCTTAACCCGGCTTAACTATGCCCTTCCTACCTTGAAGCTCAATATCTGCACGTTGTTAGCGATATTTCTGCTCGCATGCTCATCATATACTCACATCATTCTTTCCCACAGCAACAACATCATCTTCCGCCACTCTCCTCCCACCCTCCGTCTCAACATACGCCATCGGCGCGTCACCCATAACCTTCCTATACACATCACCGACTGTGCTACCCTTCTTAACAAGCACGCAATCTCTAAAAACAGCGGTCGAGCTCGCACTACCACTTGTATACGCGTGGATGTTGCGGACTGGGAAGACTGGAACCAGACCGAGTAGTTCAGCCGCTCGCGACAGGACTTGTACAACGCCTGTGCTGCCAAAGCGGTAAAGGACCATGTCTTTGAGATTTTCGATTCGTGTTGTGAGCTTCTCGTCCAACTCCTTCAGTCCGCCTCCATCGGGGTCGCCCTGCTCAATCAGATCTTCTCTTGTGTCGACGAACTCGCTGCCCTCTGTGTATTTGATGAAGCCCTGTTTCGCTAGTTTCCGCAGAAAGACTTCAGATATCGCGCTGCAAAGCACTATGCTCTTGGCATCCACCTGTTTCGCAATTTTCGCAATGTTCTTGTCCGCGTCGGGGTGATCGATCTTGTTGAGGGCGATGACGGTAGGGAATTTCTCGTCGGTGAAGGCGTTTACGACTCGTTCGATGGTCTCGTTTGACCAGTCTTGTAGTGGCTCCTTGAGGGCAAGGCGATCGAGACAGCGCGCAACGACGCTGGACGTGGATCCGTAACCTGAGAACTGGTTCTGTAATGTTTCGACTGCCGTGGCTTTGATAGCGACATGCCTCCTCTTGATGCTACCCCATTTCTCCATCAGGTTGCCTTGTATCCATCGCACAATCTCGCTCCTCAGCCAGACGATGTCTTGACTTGGGTCGTAGCCTCTTGTCGCCTTGCCCTCGGCGTCGGTCGTCCCGCTCACGTCCACCACGTGTACAAGCGCATCTGCATGTCGCAAGTCGTCCAAGAACCTGTTTCCGAGGCCTTTTCCCATGTGTGCGCCTGGTACGAGCCCGGCGACATCGAGAAGTTCTATAGGGACTGACCGCCGTCCTTCGACGCAACCGCCGTAGTTGGGTTTGCAGCGATCAGCGAGACCGAGGCGCGCGCAGGGGCATTCGATTTGGAGGTAGCCGATGGCGCGCTGGGGGTCGATGGTGGTGAATCTGGTGGTAGCATTAGGGGCTGACGATACGAAGAATCGAGCGCAGTGTGCGCTGCGCAGTCGCATTCCATGGATCGGAGAGGGATGACTTACGGGAAGTTACCTACTCATAATCAGCCTACATAGCTCCCAGCGTATTCAAACATGTACGGACCGACTTTGGAGGTAGCATCTGTCAAGCTGCCATGAAATCCGTCTTAGAAAGATCCGCGAAAGAGGGGTGGAGGGGCATTGCGCACCTGTTCAGTGTAGTCGACTTGCCGGACGAAGGCTTGCCGACGAGGCCGATTAGCGGGTCGCGAGGCATGTCTAAGGAACGTAAAGAAGGAAGAATGGGGGTATCAAAGAAGGCTAGTCGAGTGCTGATGGTAGCAGTGCGAAAGCCAGCATTGTCAAATTCGCGACCGCCCTTATCGATAACGCACTGACATCACATAAGGCTGCAGCTCGCCATCACTCATGCGTTCATTCAGGCAGATGGGCAATGCTTATACTCGACTCCATACGACCCAGCACCCCTCACATTACGATATCTAGAAGATGTCTATCTTGCTACAACGCCCTAGAATGCGGTTCATATCAAGATTCAATATCCTCCCTCCTATCCAATAAACCAATCAATACACCTTGTTGAAAATATGCTCCAAAGAGAGACTTTTTCGGGGGTATAACGTCGCTGAATGGGAAAACATAAACATTCGCAACCACATCTGCACAAAAGTCCGGATCAGCCCCAACCCCGAAGCCGCCAGCGGGGTAGACCCCATATTAGATAGTAGAAACCTCATGAGATGCCCAGTAATCGTTAATCTATATTGAGAATATCTCTCGGTTTCGTAAGGTTATGTGTGCGTTTTCTGAAGCCTTGTTAGCTACTCATCGATATCAAGCTGGCCGGGATGCTCTGAACTTACGAGACTGGCAATAGCCGCCGCCGAAGCGAGGTCTGGTTTGCCTGACACACTGCGCTGTGCTGCGCGCGGCAGTCCACTTCCACCTGCGCCATTGAGTGGCGCTCCGTTTGCTGCACGCTTAGTACCTGCTGTTCCAGGTGCAAGGCCTTGCACGGTGGAGTGGCGTCTCGCGGGAGCAGATGTTTTCACAGGTGAGTTGCTGTTCGACACCTGACGTTGTCCGCTGGCTGCGGTCCCGTTTCTGAAGCTAGACACGGGAGGCTCGGGAAGAGGTCGGACACGTGGCTGTGCCGACTGTGGGGGCGGCATTCGCTTCGCAGGTGAAGACGTGCCGGAAGGGGCGTTGAATGGTCGACGTTGCTGATTGGTTTTGCGTACGCCAGTGATGAACTCATGCTGCATCGCTTCATCGGGCTTCATTCGACGTTCGGGGTCCCAACGCAGACAGCGCGTGATGAAGTCAAGGAAGGCCTCATCGTCACACTTCAGGGCTTGTTGCAGTGTCTTCGAGCTGGGTCGTCGCCTGCGGCCCTTTGAGGAAACAGTGACTCTGGGCTTGCCAAGGGAGTCAAAGAATAACTTCTTCCTGCTGCTCTTCTCGATGAGGTGCTTCTCTGGAGGTCCGAATATCTCCATGATGCAAGCAAGCTGCTCCTGTTCGTTCTCTCCAGGGAATATGGGGTAACCGGTGAGCAGCTCCGCAAGGATGCAACCCAAACTCCACATGTCTATTGGCAGACCGTAGCTCATGCCGAGGATGACCTCCGGCGATCGGTAGAATCGCGACTGAATGTAAGTATAGACCTTCTCGGTTTCGAAGCAACTGGATCCGAAATCGATGACCTTGATTTCCGAGTGAAGCGGATGCGCAAGCAGAATATTCTCCGGCTTCAGGTCACAATGGATGACTTTCTGAGTCTTCAAGAGGGTCAACGAAGCTAGCATCTGCTTGCAGAATCGACGGATCAGACGCAGGGAGAAGCCCTTGAACTCGTGTGCCTTGATGAACTCGTAGAGATTCATGCCAAGAAGCTCGGTCGAGATGCAAAGATGGCCACGGAAGTAAAAGCTCTGAGTGAAGTTGATCATGCTGTGCTTGTTGTCAGGGTCCTGGATAGCGTTAGCAAGCTTACTCTGTATACTGAATGCATCTTTCTTACCCATTCGCGTAGCTTCTGAAGAATGTTGACTTCGACCAGAGCTTGCTGATGGAACCGTTTCTTGTTACGAATGATCTTGATCGCTTCGAGCCCTCCCGTCTTGTGGTCTACGCAACGCACAACCTGTCCGAAGCTGCCCTTGCCAAGAACATCAACAACTTCGTATCTGTATGCGAGATGGTCTCCCAAGACAATGTTGTAATCGCCACGTTCGTCGTCATAGCCAAAGTTTGCGGTCTGCGCATTAAGATCACCAACGTGTTTCTTGGCATTCTTCGTTCCACAGAAGTAGACCTCCTTGTAATCGATGATCTCGCCTCTTTCGAATATGTTCAAATTGGCCATGCGCACAGCATCACTTGGACTGACGCGCTCCTTGGCTGTGGCGCGCTTACGGAGCTCGTCGACATCGCGCGCCGCATGCTCGAAGTCTTTCCGCTTCGAAGCAAGCTTCTTCATTTCTTCGTCGGCCAACATGTCATCTCTATCGAGGTTTGAATCGAGATTACGAGCTTTGAGCATGTTCGATGAGCTCTTCGTACCCAGCATTCGCTGCATCGGTGTCAAGATCGACGTTGACTTCTGTGTCGCCTGGCTATTAGCCTGGTCTGTGTGGCCCGATACCGCACGTGTTCCAGCATTCCCTACGGGCTTACGAGCACTTAATTTCTCAACCTCTGTATCGCTTGCAACTGCTGTTGCAGAGGGTTTGCGGCGCCCGAAATCAAGGGATGGTCGACTCCCACTCTTGGCGGGACTTGGGCTTGTGCCAATAGCACCGCTCCAAGTAGCAGACGCAGGTAGCCGCGGTGGTGGCATTTCGCTGTGCTTGGGAGGCTGGGGTTGCTGTCTTGGTTCACCACCCTGAGGGCCCGGTTTTCGGACCTGCAGGTTTTGCGATTGATGTGTTGCAGCTTTAGATGAAGCTCTTCTCCAGCCACTGAGGCTGAGCTTTCGCCGCAAAGATGAGCCAGAAGAAGGCGTTTCAGGTTCGGTTGACGTGGACGTCTGTATTGAATCTGACGTGTTCTTCTTCTGTAATGGCCGCGGGCCAGCAACCATACTCTGCATCTCCACATCCCTGGCAGAGGATTTGTATTCGCCGCTAGGTCGTGGCTGCAAGCGGGCGAACTCCCCGCTACCCTTTGGCAACGAATTCGATGAGAAAGGCGTGGTGGCTTGACGTGTTGGGTTCAAGGTCGGAACGGGAATCGAACCAATGTTCGGGTGGGTATCAAGCGAGGAGTCTGCAGCACGCAGGTTAAAGGCCGAGCTACTGCTACGTAAGTGTTTATGGTATTCGTCGTGATGGTTGTTCCTTGCGAAGAAGTTCGCCTTGGAGGCTGTCATGGGCGTACTAGGCGTTTTGT